AAATTGATGAAATATGATAGTGGTACCTATGATATGAAAAGATTATTTATATCCTGGTTAACTAGGAGTCAAGTGGCATAGGACTGTAGGAATTTGGAAACGTAAAAGATGGTGTTAGCATTCTAAAAAAAAAAAAAAAAATCCAATACTGTGTGTATGCATGTGTGTGTAATTAATTTTTTTTAAAGAGAATAAATTTTTTTAAGAATTTTGAATTTCATGGAGTTAATTAGGATCCTCAGGTACTGTATGAATCTCCAAGTTTTAAATATGTCTAAAGATACTATACTAGATAAAAATGTGGCAGAATGAAGCCTACCAGACATTGATCTCAGTTACTTGAGAAGATATCTGTGGCAAAGAGAACTTCTTTATCTGGGACTTTAAAATGCAAAAATTACTAATGTACCCTTTCCTGTTGTTCCAGTGGTTTGAGAACCCAGTGGTATTAAACAGGAATATTTTCAAATTGGACTAATACTCTAGCCATAATTTTATATTGAAAAAAATGCCCCAAGAGTTGTCTGGAGCTCAAGTAACAGTATCTTGAACGACCGTATAAAGTAAAAGCAAGTCACCAGTTTTCATTCCAGCCCAGTATTTTCCTCCTCTTTGTTGTCTACTTTTTCTCTCCCCTAGTCCTTGCTAGATTGATAGATCATACCTATGATAATGGATGTCTGGGTCTAGTTTTTAGACGTAATTGGAAACAAGTGGTACATCCCAGTATAGAAAATCTTAACGTCTTGTCAGAAAGTAAAGCGCTTGTTACCAGAGTTTTCTATTAAATATATTTATGTGACTTAAAATAGAGAAATCTGTAATTCCAAGTAGAGTGAACATTCAGAATGTTCCTTGGTCTGTGTCAGCTAAGAAACTCAAGGAAACCAGCTATGCCTCTTAAAGATTGCCTTTGAATTGGATATGAGTGTTTTACCCAGATAAATTTTGCTAAAACTGTCTCTCATCATCATTTACTAGGACTGACAAACATTTTTAATAGATGGCAATGTTTTTAGATTGTATCCATTCAAAGCATCATAAAGTCTCATTGTTGCTGCTGCTGTTTCTTCAATAGGTAGGTTTACAGTTTTCATCAATATTTGGAAATTTTTCAGTTACTCTTTCTTCAATTATTTTTCCTCCCCACCCCCTTCAGGAAACTAATTTCACATGTGTTAGGCCACTTGAGATTGTCTGCCAATTCACTGATCAATCCTCAGTTGGTTTTTTAAGTTCTTTTTTCTCTGTTTTAGATAGTTTGTCTTTATGTTGACTAATTTTTTTTTCTGCAATGTGTAATCAATACTATTCAGTTTATTTTCATGTCACATTTTGTTTTCACCTACAATGTTTGATTTGGACCTTTTAAAGTATCTTCAGTATCTCAACCTTTTGAAAATATGTAGTTCTAATAACTTTTAATATCCTTACCTGCGAACATTTACATTTTTGTCAGTTGTGAGTTGGTTTTGATATTTTTTTGCCCTCATTCTTGGCATGCCTGGTAATTTTTGACTGGATGCCAAACACTATGAATTGAGTGCCTGATATTTTTGTGTTTCTATAAACTCTTGAGCTTTAGTCAGTATGCAGTTATTTGGAAAATTTGATCCTTTGAGGTCTTGCTTTTCAGATTTGTTAGGCAAGACCAAAGCAGTGCTCTTACTGAGTTAAGAGCCTTCTCTGGGCCGGGCACGGTGGCTCAAGCCTGTAATCCCAGCACTTTGGGAGGCCGAGGCGGGTGGATCACGAGGTCAAGAGATCGAGACCATCCTGGTCAACATGGTGAAACCCCGTCTCTACTAAAAATACAAAAAAAAATTTAGCTGAGCAAGGTGGTGCGTGCCTGTAATCCCAGCTACTCAGGAGGCTGAGGCAGGAGAATTGCCTGAACCCAGGAGGCGGAGGTTGCGGTGAGCCAAGATCACGCCATTGCATTCCAGCCTGGGTAACATGAGTGAAACTCCGTCTCAAAAAAAAAAAAAGCCTTCTCTGTACTGTCCCAACCTCTAAGTAGAGTCATATTTCCCAGTCTTGATGGTGGAACAGGCACTATTTCCATTCCATGTGAACACCAGACACTGTTTGCTCCATGCCTTTTGGATGGTTCTTTTTCAGGCCTTGGTAGTCACCTAACATTCATGTCCTGTCAGAATTCAGCTGAAGACTTGCACGGTGGGGTGGTGCTCTGCATAATCCTAGTTTGCTCTCTGTAATCCTCTCCAGTCCTGCAAACTCTAGCCACTGGGCCTCCTGGACTCTCAGCTCTGCCTTAACTTAGGGTGGCTTCTAGCTCCACCTGTGTTCTTCTTCCTTGTACTACAACCTGGAAACTCAAAGCAGTAAACTTTGATAGTTACTAAGACTGATCCCGTTTTATCCCCCATAACTGGTCTTTGATGCCTATAATGTGCAGTGTCTTGGACATTTTTTTCATGTAATTTGTCTTGTTTACAGTGAGAAGATAAATCTGGTCCTTGTTATTACATTTTGGCTACAAGTGGAAGTCTGAATTAAAATTTTTTAAATGTTTAATTTCTGATACAAAATCTTGATAAGTTTTGTTTTAATTTCTAGTGGAAATAGCTATACATAAACTGTCATAAGCAGAAGCTCTTTGGAGTCCTCAATAATTTAAGAATATGAAGGGGTCCTGAGATCAAACTGTTTGGGTATCACAGGTCCAAAACATTTTCCAAGATGTTAATGGTTCCATGGACAACTAATTCAATGTAAGGCTGTCTTCATATTAAAACAGACTTTTCAACCATAGGCTCTGAAGGCCTTCGATAGCTAGTGTGCAGTGTCAGCCTACAGATCTATCTAGTTTCTGTAACACACCCTAAACTTACTTGATTGACATGACTTTTTTGGCACTAGAGTTGCCAGCAGTCCTCTTTAAATATACCAAGCCAACATAAGGGGTAGTTTTAAAAATGAAAGTAGTATTTTATGATCTTGAAGCACTTTAATACTGCATTCGGATTACTTTGGGGCTACTGACATACATCCAAATGACCAAGTGATTCCTCCCAAAACAGTCTTGGCCCAAAGCCAAATTCCTTTTTCTACTGCTAGAACCACTGGAAATTAATCTTACAGTGTTGGAGTAGCTATTTTGCCACGGCTCCCAATTTAATCAAGAATGACTTAAAATATGAATGGATATCTTGTCTTATTTTACCAGACAGAAATCTCAAATTACCAGGCACCTGGAAGCTTCATTTACATTGTTTTTCCTCTTGAATATCCGCTAGCAACTCCAGTAGAGTTTGGGAAACGGTAGAAATGGTAACAAATGACCCCAAAATTTGGTGGCGTAAAACATTTTTGTTCATAAATCTGCAGTTTGGTCAGGGCTTAACAGGAATAGCTCACTTTGCTCCATTTGGGATCAGCTGGGATGGTTCAAAGACTGGAGATTAGAATAATCTGAAGGCTGCTTCACTCACATGCCTGATGGTTGATAATGCCTGTTGTTGAAAGATCTCAGCTGAGGCCATGGCTATAACATGTAGTTAGGGCTTCCTCAGAACATGGTGGCTGAATTCCAAGAGTAAGCATCCTAAGAGGAAGAAGCAGGCAAAAGCTGTATTGTCTTTTCTAACCTAGCCTTGTCCAAAATACTAAGAATGAGTCACTAAGGTAGGCCTTTATTCAAAGACAGGGGAATTAGACTGTCATTTGATGGGAAGTTCAAAGAATTTGTGGACATGTTCTACCACATACAGAATCAGAAGTTATTCCATAACTCCTCTCCTTCAACGTCTTTTATGACCAATTAACTATTTCCCAGCCTGTTTACTTCCTCCCCCTAACAACCAATGATGGAACTGGTATGCCTTATAAAACACCTGAAGTTGCTCGAGGCTATGATGTGGAATAAGCACCCAGTACATCCTCCACCATCTTCCTCTAACTGGGTTTCTATTTTTTGTTTTTGATGTCATACATACCAATATCCCCGTTAGCTTTTCAAAATAGGCAATATGTTGGTTTGGTATGTTTAAGAAAGGACTGCTGGCAACTGTAGTGCCAAATAAGCCAGGTGCAGTGGCGCCTGTAATCTTAGCAGTTTGTGCAGCCAAGGTGGGTGGGTCACTTGACGCCAGGAGTTCAACATGGCAACTGGACAACATGGCAAAACCCCAATCTCTACTAAAAATATAACAATTAGCTGGGTGCAGTGGCATGCCCATAGTTCCCGCTACTCAGGAGGCTGAGGCACGAGAATCACTGGAACCCAGGAAGTAGAGGTTGCAGTGAGCTGAGATTACGCCACTGCACTCCAGCCTGGGCAAGAGAGTGAAACTTGCACAGTATGGTATGTTAAAATGAACCTTGGAAAAGATTAAGATGTGTTCACGGGCTGGTTCAATTTTACTAATATATGTTACAGACCTATTACACATCCTACTCCTGGGGGAGAGTTGGATTGAATCTCTAGCAAAGAACTAAAGTTTCTGGGGGAATAATGAAACCATACCTTATAAAAAGTCTAATGCTCCTCTTCTACCTAAGCCAGCTGAATGTGCCCAGACAATGCAACATTCTTTGCTACTTATACAGAGTCAAAATGTGTGAAACACCCGTTTCCAGGATTTAGTAGGTCACCATCTGTCAGAACACAGTGGAGAGTCTTTAAAAAGAATCATACTAAGTCTCAGATTCTATAGTAGCCTGCAGGTGTTTGTACTGATTTCTGAGTATAGATCAAAAGAATTTAGAGTACAGTGGGGCAGGAAGGAAGGAGATGCTGCACTGCCGAACACCAGCTTTGAGGAGCTGAAATGGTGATGCCTGTTGCCTAGCAACCTTTACTCTTCAGGCACACTTGCCTGCTTAAAAGATCCTTTTCAACAGCTGTAATGCAAACATTAACCTAGTGAGTCAGCGGGGTAACGGGGTAACAAAGGTAGGGACCCAAATGATTTTCCACTAACTGAAATCAAAGCAGCACCTCCAAAAGGTTAATTAAAAGACAATGAACACCCAAATCGAGCTGAAGTTTTATTTAAAACATAAAAGAAATGTTCCCCCAAAATGCTGGTGAACAAAGTAAAAGGATGCGACACAGTGCTCTCTTCCTACTTAGCCAGGCCTATCCAAGTACAGGTAATTAATATACAGTACTTAATGCTGGTAGAATTTCACAGTAGTTTAGTGTTAAAGATTTATCTGTGCCTAGATTATGAAGAGATTCTCAGTGTGTGATGATTAGTTCTGGGTTTACACCTTACTGGGCATGAACAAGAGCCCCTGCTCCTTGGCCATAGCCAAATCCCTTGGGCCCAAAGTTCTTTGCATAGCATCCTACAAAGGAAAAGGGAGGAAGGATAGTTAGTGCAAGTCCATTAAGCTTTGCTAGCACTGCATAAGACCCACTCAACAAACCCCCATAAATTAAAAAAAACTGCTATGTGAAAGGGCTCAACTTATTTAAAGATATTAAACGTGTTGTGTACTAAATAACGCTGTAAAGACAAGTCCACGCATTCTAGTTCCATGGCATTCAGCGTGGTCCTGCTGAGTTGCAAGCATGAGTCAGGGCAGGTAAGTTATGTATTTGTCTGTTTTCTTCTACATATTTAGGCTTTGCTCAAGACATGAAGGCAAAAGATAGCTATTTGTGGTGTTTATCTGGGGGGAGTTTTAAATAATCAGCAACTTAAGAGATTATCTGTGGTTTTCTGTCATCTTCAAGCATCTTGGGATATCTTATTTTCAAACAGTCAGTGGTACCCCTTTCTCCTTTTTTTTTTAAATGCTAGTGACATTTCATTAAACAAGAACCGGTGTGGGATATTCATATGGACAGCAGTAACTGAAACTAATCTTACCTTTACAATAGATTTCACCTTCTTTTTCAGTCAGAGTTGTTGATTCAAGACTCTTCCCACACTTTGCACATCGGAAACAGTTTTTGTGCCAGGGCTGGAAAAGACAAATGTGTCAGCATGTTTGAGAGGCCTGTTTCCTACAGTTCAATTTAGATGTGTGGCAAGTGGCGGCTCAGGAAGATCACCCCAAGGCAAGCTCCTGATTTCTGTGGTTCAGCTCCAATGAGAAAGCTGGAACCAGTGCCCCTCAGTATCTGCACTCACTCTTGGTCACCCACAGAAAGGCTGTTTCCTCAAGAGCAGCCTCAGACCTAACCACAAGCCCAGTTTGCTCCTATAAAGAGACCATCTTCTTTCTGGCTGAGAACAGCACAGCTCAAAGAGGTTAGCTGGTAACTTTTCCAAATCCATACACTGAATTCGCATCAGGTGTCCTGATTCAGATTCCTTTTTTCACTATACTGAATAACCTGGAGATTCCTTTACAGTCTGGCCTTTTAAAGTATAACCTTCAGGAGTGCCCCCTATGAAAACAAGTTCTTTTAAACATAAAAGTGACTTGTTAAATAAGGGAATCGCTTCAAAAAAATTAATGATTCTAATGGAAATGCATTTAAAGAAAAGTTTCATATAAGCCATCATCCAAGCAAGGAATATGGAAGGGTTAAGGGGAGAAAGGGAGCAGAGGAGTCATTAGCTGTTATTAATTGAAACAGCACTTTACCTTTCCAGCTCCAATGATCTTCTCGGCAGCATATACAGAATCCCCACATCTGGAACACTTCTCAGCACCTCCATATTTCTGAGCAAATTTAGAAGTGTTTGGATTTGTCGTAGGCCTGTGAGGCTGAACACTTGTGGAAAGAGGAAAAAAAAGTAGGCAAGAGTTTCCACCGGGCCCTTTTAAGTACACAAGGCAGGAACAAGGGAACTCTGGGACTTAACCACTATACTGCCTGAAAGCTGGAGGCCTTCGCAGGCCAGCACATGGGAGGGAATAAAGAAACGACTCAGGTGCCAGCCAGAGTTACTACTTGAACCTCTCTCTGGGCTCATTATTATTATAAAAACGCAGTTGGAAGGGAACAGACTTTGGAACCAAATGGACATTGGTTGAAATCCTGGCTCCCTCACTTATCTGTGTGACGTGACTCATCTATAAAATGGACCTCAGAGTTACTGTGAGGATTATGCAGAATGAAGATAAACATTCAACAGACAACAGGGACTCAGTACATGGTAATTATTATTTTAGCCAAACCAAGTGCTATATTTAAGGTCGTAAGCTACTCAGGAGGCTGAGGCAAGAGAATCACTTGAACCCAGGAGGCAGAGGTTGCAGTGAGCCGAGATTGTGCCAGTGTACTCTAGCCTGGGTGACAGTGACAGAGTGGTGGGGGAGGGGGAATTCCAAACAAAGAAGTTATTTAACTTGAATAAGAAATACTAAGTGAACTTTAACAAATTTAGCACCTTGATACATTGGTACCAAAGCCTTTAAGGTTTAACACTACCCTCTCAAACAATCAAAAGCAAGAAATAATTTCCATTTTTAAGTACAAAATGTTAGAGAAAAGTGATTTCTTGATGAAAAATGTTTACATAGAAGGAGTGACCGGAATTTTCACTGACTGCTTAAATTGCACATGAGAAACACCTCTCATGATTCACATAGCACATTTCTCTACCATTTAATTTCATGAGATCTGGTCTCCAAGGTGCTGTGAAATGGAAATAAATATAAATCACTTGCTTTTGAGAAAATGACTCCTTGATAGAGCTTGGAATGCTGTAAAGCCAGCAGCAGAAATCAGTGGAATTATTAATAAGAACTTTGTTAGGTCCGAAACTGTATTTTGAACTTAAAGAATAGTAGTTTACATTAGAAAATCAGAGTCCCATTTTATTGCTAAGTTTCAACAAAAATCTGGATACTCCCAAGTTCCTGTTCAGCAAGCAGCACTAACTGTTGTAACTCATTTCTGAAGGTAACCAACAGTCTCCCAACTCACCTCTCTGGTTTGATGCCCAGCCTCTCGCCACGGTCCATGTTAAGTGTGCCAGCGCCCTGGCCGTAACCGTAGCCTTTTGGCCCATACTTCTTTCCATAGCAGGATTTGCAGTAGATCTCTTCATCGTGAATTGCCACTGTTGTGCTATCTAAATTTTTCCTGCAAACCACTGCAGGGGAAAAAGTTAGACTTTAAATACGTTCCAAGGACGCCTTTTTCCTTAGAACAATGGTGGCACAGACACATGGCCTATAAACGGTAAAGGCTGAGGCTCCCTCACATTCCTGGTTTATCCTGTGGCTTCCCAAAATCCACAAGACAGCAACTGGACTGGCCAGCTACATTCGAGGATTATTTACATTCCTCCACGGATATAACAGTTGCTTCAAAAATGTATCAGAATATAACATCAGAAGCCTTAAGCTTTATTCTTGTTTCATTTATATTTTATTCCCTTTCCTATGGTGCTCATCAAACTTTTAATATGATTTCCCTTTCTGGGAGATCATATTAAGGGAGAAAAGTTTCAGAGATGGCTATAATTACTTAAACAAAAGGAATAAAACACCACCTTGCTCCCAAACTTCAACACTCTTAATCTTTTCAGCCTTCTCTTACCAAGTACTGTTAAATCACAACCTAACAAAGAACAGAAGGGTAGCTCAGTGCCTTGGGGGAGTTGCCTCTGTAGCCTTTCCTTCCCCAAAAAGCACCCCCCTAGGATAAAAATAGTTTTAAATCCTGAATTCTAGTTTTCATCACTAGTCTAGACTGGGAAGAGGTATCACCCTTCCCTCTCCCCAGCAGCTTCTCCAGCAGTGATGGGTCGTCTGAACATCATCAAGTGGTTCAAAGTCTGCATTTGCTTTCCCTTATGTCCCAAAGGAGAATGCATTCTTTCTTCATGGATCTCTTGCCACAGGACATTTCCATGTGTCCCATTTTGTAAAACTGCCAAATGTCATGTTTCATCCAGACATTATTTCACTTTCTCAAACTTCAGTTAGGTTTGAGAAAAAAGTAAATTGTGAGGAAACTCACTGGTAGCACAATCTGGCAGCTGGAAATCAAAGATCAGAATTTCTCCCCCTTATTTGAAAGGCAATTGTATGAAGATACAGAGTAGAATGATGGTTACTAGGGGCTCAGAATGGTAGTGTGTGGGGAGGGAAGTGGGGAGACTTAATGGGTGTAAAAATATAGTTAGAATAAGATCTAGTATTTGATAGTACAACAGGATACTATAGTCAACAATCATTTGTTGTACATTTAAAAATAAAAGTTTAACTGGAATGTTGGTAACAAATAATAAATGCTTGAGGTAATGGATACCTCATGTAAGATGATGTGATGGCTGGGCACAGCGGCTCACACCTGTAATCCCAGCACTTTGGGAGGAAGAGGCGGGTGGATCACAAGGTCAAGGAGTTCAAGACCAGCCTGGCCAACATGGTGAAACCTCATCTCTACTGAAAATGCAAAAATTAGTGGGGTGTGGTGGCGCACACCTATAGTCCCAGCTACTCGGGAGGCTGAGGCAGAATCACTTGAACCCGGGAGGCAGAGGTTGCGGTGCACTCCACTGCACTCCAGCTTGGGCAACAGAGTAAGACTCCTTCTCAAAAAAAAATAAGAGAAAACATGATGTGATTATCATACATTGTACGCCTGTATCAAAAGATCTCATGTACCCTATAAATATATACACCTACTATGTACCCATAAAAATTAAGAAAAATAAAAGGGGGGTTGAATAAAAAGGAAGAAGGATAAAAGGGAGGAGAGCAAAGAGGAGGGGAGGGGAGGAGGACTTTAACCACCCCTTTCTCCCCCAGTCCTCATCCCTGTTCTCTGCAGTAAAATTCTCATAGGTCTGCAAACTACTCTGAATTATTTCCATAGAGGGCTTTAGTCAGCAGAGACAAATATTAGAAAGGATTGGTAGAAATGGCCAGTAAAGAACTTGACATTTAGTTAAACAAATATCAACAACATACACGCATGTGATGTTTCATTATGGTGTAGACATTGTGGCTTAACCTTGACAGATGAAACTGAGCAATTTCTAAAGTATTTGCATTGTTTCCATACTTCCTTGGTTACAAGCCTGCTGAAAAATAGATTCCTTAAAAAAAAAAGTAACTTCTAAAAGAAAACGTTAAGCCAAATCTTCTGAGAAACAGTAGTATAATTATTATGGAGGCATATGTAGTGAACATTCCTATGTAGTATTTTTTTTTTTTTTGCAATTGCAACTTTCTGCTGTCTGTTTCTGGTTGTCTGCAAAGCAGTTACGCTATTAAAGAGATTCAAGGCGGGGCGCAGTGGCTCACGCCTATAATCCCAGCACTTTGGGAGGCTGAGGCGGGTGGATCGCGAGGTCAAGAGATCGACACCACCTGGTCAACATGGTGAAACCCCGTCTCTACTAAAAATACAAAAATCAGCTGGGCATGGTGGCGCGTGCCTGTAGTCCCAGCTACTCGGGAGGCTAAGGCAGGAGAATTGCTTGAACCCAGGAGGCGGAGGTTGCGGTGAGCCGAGATCGCGCCATTGCACTGCAGCCTGGGTAACAAGAGCGAAACTCCGTCTCAAAAAAAGAAAAAANAAAAAAAAAAAAAAAAGAGGTTCAGATACTTGAATGCTGGCTCCAATGAAGGAAAAGGACAATTCAAATTTCAGAATGAAGTCTTTTCCTGAAGATGGTTTCTCCCTGTAACCAATTTTTAACATATGGTTTTCTGTAGGAATTTTTCCAGTACAATATGATTGATAAGGCAAACATCTGCCCATATGGGTGGGTTTATCTGACATAATCATTGATTAAAGAAAATTCTGTCATTAACTCATAAGATGATTAATGAAGCACTTTCTTAAGTTGCTACTCTACAGTTTGAAGACTTTGTCATCACTAAAGCGAATCTAAGAAAGCTGGGGTGGATGAGAAGCAATTCATTTACTCAAAAGCGGGAGCTGAGCCCTTGCCATGTGCCAGAAACTGTGCTAGGTGCCAGACCACAGAAATGACGCCCTGGTACCAGTGAGGTGGGGGAGGCAGATGCGTTAACAAAGTCAAGGCCAGAATGGCAACCAAGAGCTCTGGGGATACAAAGGGAGGCTGGGTGTCTTAGGCCACCACTCCTGTCTTTGCTGCTAGGCTCGGCATTTACAACATCTAAGACGACAGGTAAAAATCATTCGTGCTTCCAAAATAATCTCTACGGGCAAAAATGCAATTTTTCCTTAAATAGACAAATGAAAGCTTTGTACGTACAAATTCTGTCCAGGAAGCTACTTACTGCAGAGAAAGCAGCAGCGGTGGAAGCTCCTGCCATCACACTGCACCTCTTCTGCGTGGTACACGGTCCTCCCACAGGCCCCACACTTGTTTCCACCGCCCCAGACAGGCATTCTGAAGGAATAAAGGATTCATTAGAATGTCCCTATGCTGGTCTTACAGCTCCCTAGAGGGCTGCTGAAGCCCAGGGACAGCTGCAGATTTTTGTTTCTTTAGGAACCTCTCTAACCACATCTTTCAGAGGCCTGCGTTCCTCCAAAATAACCTCATCTCCTCCCAAATCACAACTCTTTCATTAGGAAACTGGCTTGTCATGCACAAGATTTTTTCTGCAAGACAAAGGACCTGCATTCAATACAACAGTACAGGTCACCAGGCACAAAACAAACTATGCCATTAGAATCCCCAGGAGTTACAAAAGAAGCATGGGGAGGGGAAGGACAAGCCTTGTCCCCCTCCCTGACATGCCCATTTTTAATAAACATTTTTTAAAAACTCAGCTGAAGATCTGACACGTGGGTGGAGGTTTTTATTACATGTTTAATTCATTGTAACAACACTAAATTCTTAACCTTTAACATATATAAGCTATGTCACGCTTTCTAGGGAAGAAAGTGTGTTGCCCTGCAAGAACAAGCTTTATATTTGTCTGCTGAAATTACACGACTGCAGTGTAAATAGCTGTGTCTGTGACTCGTACAACTGCATGCACAAAGCCTTTGCTGTAACCACAACAAACACCCATCCAGATGGCTCTGGTTTAAGTTTCTAGTCCAACCAACAGTTGGATTTTCCTCTTTGACAAGTTGGTCAGGCCATACAGAATCGGCTACAAGTTCCCTTCCTACTATTTGCTGAGTGTGCAGGAATAACCTCTAACAGTGTAGCCTGCTGTAAGCGGCAAGCTGGAAGTACAGATCCTAGGCTGTCCCACTGTCATGTAGGACCAGCATTTTCTCATCTCCCTTCTCAACAAATTGGTCTGCCTGACCCAGTTCAAAATGCCTGGTTCTGGCGGGGCATGGTGGCTCATGCCTGTAATCAAGCACTCTGGGAGGCCAAGGCGTGTGGATCACCTGAGGTCAGTTCGACACCAGCCTGACCAACATAGTGAAACCCTGTCTCACCTAAATACAAAAAAAAAAAAAAA